ACRAAGCATTGAACCGAGGCATCAAGGAACACTRCATAYAGATCTTTTCTTTTATGYTCACTGTACCTTGACGCCTCRKTTCAATGCTTTGTTCGTGGTCACTGAACCTGAGTATGGAAAGTCGTGAATTCGCTYCATTTCATTTTAGGAACGATCCTAATCGCTAAAATGTACTCAATATCAATATATCACCCTCAACAACYTRGGSAACCTGACAGCCCCTCCTGTCATTAGCGCACTAGGTAGCTAAGGAGGGTTACGATTAAAGTGAACTTAATTTGGAWTACASTGGAAATTTATGATGAAAACTTACCATAAACTCGTATCGCTCCCACTTGATTGTCCAACGCCATATTCCATGTTAGAAAAGCGATTTTGGTAATGACTGAAGTTATAACGGTGCTGGAAGAAATATATGTCAAGTTAGTTTACGGTAATGCATGCATCAGTACTTTCGGAGAACGATGCGTCCGCCATCTTGAAAGGTGAGACCCAAATCACAATGTTGTGACTTAGAAACACGTTTCGTAGTTGCTAAGTCAACTAATCTATCATTATATCGTATTATATTAACTTCACATTAGCTGAGAAAATTTTAATTTCTTTAGGAGTTATAATTTAGTGATTGARGTCCAATTTTTCAAAATGGTGGACGCATTGTTATCCGAAAGTACTGATGCATGTATAGYGCGAAATTAATAGCATTTTAGTCTTCTTTTTATTTAGTTGTAACAAACGTGGAAACACTAGATAAGAGTTTAAGACAATGCGCATTTAGGAATCTCTTGAATCGATTTATGTACGATAATATAATTATAGAAATTGCAGACAGTTAAGTAGCATCGTAAGAAGAAAAAATAATATCAATGAATCCAGAGTTCATTAATGTACAAATTATTTTTATAGTAATAGTGGATAGGGACTTCTCTTCTCACAATGGCGGCCCCTGGCGCCTATCTTTGAAGGTATTTTCGCAGCAGTGTATATAGTATCAGGTCACTGGATTTCTAAGTACGTTTACTCAAATGTGTGTTCTCAAAAAAATATAAGAAAGCAGTGACGGATCCAGAAAATTACAATTGAGGAGATTGGCTAACTAAAGAAAACATATTAAATGGATAGAAACAAGAGGGAAAGGGCTCTTTCAGGCAATTTTGTTATTTAATTCTTTCATTCGGTTTTTTGTCCAACTAGTATTGTAATTACAAAACAATTAAACATCTCGACCTCGTGTACTATGCGTCCATGAGGCCCTAGAGATATAATTGTTAATATTATGTACTTATTGACTGAGTGGGAGGGACTTACGGGAAAATGTTTGGCTCGAGGTTATGCCGCACCGAACGAGCGCAGCGAGGTCCGTACAAATGACCGAGAGCCAAATATTTTCCCGTACGGCCCGACATAACTCAATCAATAAGCATTTTATCATATGACAGCGTTTTTTAATGTAAAAAATAAAATAAAAGCGCGCGGAACTTCAAGCCGGTAAGATACGGGTTTGTACGGCCCTGTCGCAAAAAGGCGTACAGTGCCCCCATCACGTGACCATTTTCCAAAGGGTTTTTAAGAGGGCGGGTAGGGCCGAAATACGGATCATATGATAGAGTCAATTTCATATGAGTGGGAAACGTACGGTAGAAATTACCGCACGGTTACCGCACAGTTACCGGACCTGGCCTGCACAATTTTGGTGAAGCAATGAGACACTAGAATTTTTGGTTACAGTACGATTACGGTTACAGTACAGTACCGTCCGTTTCCCACTCATGCAACATTGACTCTAATTATACATTCGTCACTGAGAATACCTCGTGATTTCCTGGTAAGGCCATGTAAGGAACTCGTGCTGCCACTGGTTGGATAGAATTCATAAAGCTAGACAAATGATATCTATTAGCAGAAGTACAAGTACATAACGTACTTCTGCTATTAGCTATATTATAACTAAGTCCATTTCACGAGGCAGGGGCGCGTACTCTGGTTTATCAAACAAATCTATACGTCGACCAAAAGCACGCTGAAATGGCATATGCATTGACGGTAGAGTCATACGAGATACTCAATAACAAGAATTATACTAATTGAGCATTTTCMCATCCCATTTGCACTCTAAACATTTTGGGACTTATACGTAGTGAAGGATTAGCTACATTAAGTAGAAAAATGCTTACTCATCRCCGTTGTTTCCATCGTATTCATAGAAGTCGTATGCCAAATCTAGAATAGACAGGACAATTGATCWATATAGTTGGACACCTCGAAAGCCGAAATGGTTTCACACATTACACTCATYACACTTTGACCAGTAGTCAAAGTGTAATGAGTCACACATTTCACTTTGACCAGTACACTTAATTTTTTCTGGGATAAATTATTACCACTCTGACTGGGCACTMTACCTATTTAAGGATAGAATCATATTATTCATCTTCACATATAGGATTCGGAGCAAAAACGTGACGGTGTTATAACGCATMTAAGTAGATAGCCTTGCAGGGGCGTGCGAATTGGGTGATTCCAGGGGTCAATCGCAGTGAAGCACCTTCTTCATAGTCTTAACCCCCCCGCCTCCCTTTCATTAAACCTTTTTACAAGGTCTGTTTTGTCTCTAGCTTATCACCTCCAACATGGAGTACAGCTTGGTATTTTCCTTCTTGAACTTCTTCTTTTAACAGGGGTAGACTAACAGCATTCTTATAACCCATGTCACCATATACCTATACGTAAACACGCAATCAAATGTCTTGAATATTATCTTGTCCAACCTTATTAACCATTAAGAGGTCAGTTATGGATTCGTGATATAATCACGAGATACTGTACAATCTCAACGTAATTTTCTTTTGTATATAATTCTTGTTTCTTTTTGTGGTTACTACCTTCTTAAAACTGGATAAACTATCATCAGAAAAACGTTTTCGRTACAACTATGCGCACAGTCCTGGTGCTAACCGGATTCCTCTAATTWAATTATTTCGGCAGTTACTTGTGGGAGTGGATATTTTCYGACGTGAACCTCTTCTGTGACTTCTGTGCAACGGAGATCAGTATCCTTTCCGTAGATCTTTCAGTACTTTCGAAATCCATGGCCAACCTGTGTTTGCTTCCCCTAGAGTCTAGCAGGCCCGTAGACTGGTGAGTTCGGACCCCCTCCCCCCCCTCCACCGGTCCGGTGTTTCTCTTTTTATTGTTATATTTTAAAATTCTTTTGCTAAAACTGTTTTTGAGATAGTAAATTTGTTCTGTTATGCTCATACTAGCATCCAGTTCTTATACACTATACAGTGCATTGAACTAATTCAGTTAATCAGTTTAATTTAGGGCCGCATTTAAATGAAAAAACGAACCCCCCATAGTGTAAGCCAGCCTACGGGTCTGTCTAGTAATGGCTACTTTTACCGCAAGGCAATAGAAAGAAAAGTATATTGAGATCGTGACCGCATCATGAATCCACAACTTGTTTGTGTCGCTATGTGTCTCTCATATACCCGTGTATAAATAAGGCCCGGGTATATATTCCACAATAAACATTGTTGAATCAAATCAGTTTCGATGATAAACTGCATTAGAAAAATTAAATGACAAAACAAAACGCAGTGGAAACAAATATCGATGCCTTCTTTCTCTTCTTTTCTGACACCCTAAGAGATTGCACTGAGAAAATGCAAATATCCAGAAACTCCTAATCACGAATTTTTACCCCTAARAGACCCGACGAGCATCCCCGGTACTTTTACCTCGGAGACCCCCCCTCGGGCGAACTAGTCACTTACTGCAAATGTCATCTGTTCCTCAACAGTCAAAAAGGAGTAAACATCGCTCATGCTATTGTCAGGATCACCAACACGATAATAGTACGTTGAATTTGGTTCAAGCCCGGTCAACTATAAATAATCAATGCTAGAAATCAATAAAATGAAGGGGTAGATGGATGTTAAGTATGTTTATGAAATTATTTMCTGTGAACAAAAGTGTATCTGTATAGCTCATTAACATACTAAAGAAAATGTCATGATAATTGTCATTGAAAGGTTTGAGTTTAAGTATACGCCATGAAACGTATATTCTACGCATTCTTTAGCAAAACAGGCACTACAAATGTATCTCTGATTTGGTTATAGGTCCTTTTGAGTCTTCTGGATTGATTTGGATGGGATCCCTGTGTTCCCTCTATGCACAGGAAGCCTAAAGATGACTAAAAATACGCTAATACTTAACCTGCAACTAGTATGGAACTCTTTAATAATTTTCCTCTATTATTGTCTCTTAAAATCGTACAGAGAAAAAAACAAAAAGAAAAACAAAGAGAAAAGGGTAAATGAAAATCGGTCATAGAGTTACGATTAGCATATTGATTAAAATTGACTATCGTCGCGTCTATTTCAGTCGGAGAGTCAAGTAAATYTTAAAGATGTACAAGGGTTTGTACATCTAATTTGATTTTGATTTTCCTTTACACCTCAAATAAACGTCCACGAAACGATGTCGATAGTAAACGATGTTAGTCGATATTGATCAACGTTAGTTTTATCAAAACATTACTATCGATATAAGGTCACGGATTAGTTGGCCATCGATTTATAATAGATTTCCAATTTCAATCCATTAATTGGCCTATATTACTATMAATTAATCTCGATTTCATCGATTATCGATTTCATTCATTAATAATTAATTTCCATTAATATACTCTGACATGACTGACAGTTCCTTCTCTAATATAATTACTAACCTTCACATTATGAATTGCAATACTCCTACCCTCTTTGGAATCAGGCAGATCATACCAGTATGCATGGCCTTCAACTGAATGGTCCAAGTTTTTAGGATCTTTACCGTATTGTACCAGTGTCGCTACAATCGATGTTGAGTTTCTTGGGTTCATAGAGTCCTCTCGTTTTGTTACATAATTCACAATTCTCTCATTTGGTGCTCCAGTAAAAGCAAGATGAATTTGTTCGGGTTCGTTGTATGCTTTTAAAGTTGTCATAAACGACGACAAGAAAGCAAACACAACCAAGTAATAATCCATGTTTCCCTGGCATAAGCTGAAGCTGATTTCCGGTGATCATGTGATGTATAYGAGCTCTACTAATCCCTGCGCCGGGAGGAGTCAGGCGGTGTGCGCTTCCTTGTTGCAAAGCTTTTTGGGTATAAGTTACAATGCGATCCATTAGACTTTTTTTGGGGGGGGGAGGGTGGTGGTGGAAGATTTTGATTTCCTTCACAAGAAACTTACCCCAAAAAATTGCGCGCGGCTGGAGTCCCAAAAAAATTCTTGCACTAACTTGATCTTCAACCCCTCCCCCCCTCAAAAGTCTAATGGATCGCCCCTAAGTTCATTGGAGTCAATATACCAAAAGCTTCGTTTATCTGTGTCCAACTCTCTCCACTGCGAATTTTTATTATCTAACGCTTATTCTAAACAAATAAAACGTTTTTACCGTTTATTGAGAAGAATCTGACCACTTCGTCACGGCGGTCAGCTTTGCGTGACAAGAAGTGATAACAACAATTAAATCGTTCTACTCAAGAAAGCCAGTAGAATGTTCAGTAGAGACAGTATTTAGCAAAATCAAATCAATTTCAATCAACATACCTAAAAAAGCGTTGTCGGATAAAATGGCAGATTGCACGCCCGAAAGTGGCTAATTGATGAAAATAACAACTGGTAGCCCGGGGGGGGGACTCCCTTATATCAAAGGGCGGTGATCCTCGTCGGAAATTCTGAAAATGACCCCTAAAAGGGTCCTCTATTGTGAGATGATGGGCGTGGCAGTGCTGAAATTTCACCCCTAAGAGGGACCAATCAATAACAGATCATTTTGTTTTGCTTTCCCGATTTTATTTGCATTTTTGCACAATCATCGAACACAGTCGGCTCGTATTGAGTTTATGCCGACGTTGCCATTTTTCGACAGCTTAGGGTCGTCGTATACCCTAAAAGGGACCACAAAACTCAGTTGGTGGGAATTCTCGTCATTATCACCCTAAGCGGGACCAAAATACCGATTTCAAACCCTAAAAGGGACGTCGAGGACCCTGCCCATGTTAGGGAGTCCCCCCCGGGACTGATAGTCTGTGGTGAACATTGCTTTGTATTTCTATGCAAGGTGATTCCGATAAGTGAAATTTTGTTTGTCAAAACAGAGTAACCATAGTCTCTTTCAGTCGTGCATTCTCCCTTCGATAATCGCCGTTCACCCCGCTACGTTTTTTGACCTTTTTTGAAATAGGTGTATAAATCCTGGGGAGCATTTGAACAAGTTCATAGAGACATATATCAAAAACTTGTAGGTGATTTGGAGTAGTTCTTAAGATATCAGGATTGAAAATATATCAAGGATTATTAACTTACAATCTCTCTGTCATCATCGAAGCGATTCTTTCATTACGATGTGCTGTACCTTTTGAACGGCCAAGTTCTCCTCTTCAAGGAGGTTAAAAATCCTGCGTCAAGTTACCACTAAATTTCGTGCTCCGCTATCATTGAAAATTATAACTTTCCTTTATTTCTATAGCATGCTTACATTCTAATTAACCCTGACCTCGGTTTGATGCCCGCGGCGCCCAGATTTGTGGGAAGTATCCAGGGAGATCCATCGAAAGTACCGCTGACCACACTGAAGGTCGTTCCGCGTTTGCTTTCGTCCACTTCACTATTCCTGATTTTATTAGTATAACAGACATGTCTTAGTAACACCATCCGTGATCGATCCCTGAGAATTCTTTACATTTTTTGTCGGATGCAAGTAGATTTCATGCTACCATATTAAAATACCGGTAATTTCTTTCCCCTTACTACGAAATTATGGGCTGGCGAGAGTCAAAACATTTAGTATGTTTTTTTTCGATTTTAAAGGGACAGCTTGGCCGCGAAGAGTTCTGCKTTGATACTAGTAGTATGGGCTGTCCGTTTTTCGGTGTGCTTCCCGTGTCTCAGGCTCAGGTCACTGATACTTTCTGGACAATCAACACACTAGTTTATATAGACCCTGAATCTCAAAAGGTAAGTAATTTGATTGCTTTATTGTTAAATTAAAGAAGCTGCCTAGATCAAAGGCCAACCTAGTTTAGTACGGTACTGTTTTAACTGTTTTACTTTCTACCATGCATTGTGCCACTCTTCTCTTCTTTATGAATAAGCTTACAGGTTTTTTTCGTTAAAATCTAACGTCGATTTTCGACAAGYAGGGGTGAGAGCCTGCCAGTTAAACGACAAGTCTATAAGGTCSCAGGTTCGAATCCCAGATGCGTTGATATTTCTTTTGATTCTTTATTTGCCAAAAAATAATGAAATTAAATCAAATATAGCACATGGAACACTGTAACGGAAAATTAGTGAATAAATAGGCCCTTTGCAGCTGGGGGTCACTTGACCACACCTTGCTTAAATCAATCATCTATCAAAAAATGATGATCAGAAATGGAAAGAGCAGGTTTATGTTGGTAAAATGGCAAGGTCTCAAATCTCAACTCTAAATACTTCAAAAATGACAGCAAATGTAAAATATTGATTTTTCTAAGAAACTTATGAGAAAATAGAACTGGAGAGCAAGCCTTCCTGTTTTTGCATATATGTTTCTTTAGAAAAAAAATTTTTTATTTGCCATGAATTGTGAAATAAATAGCACGTTGAGACTTGAAACTATATCTTCTTACTTATTTTGATCCCCTCTTTCCATTTCTGAACATCATTTTGTCATTGCTGATTGATTTAAGGTAGGTGTGGTCACGTGAACTCCAGCTGCAATGGGCCTATTACTAGAAAACAATTAGAATAAATTAATAATTCTGAGCACAAAGTACTGCAGGCCCAAGTTTACAGGAAAGTGTGTGAGTGACCGACTAAGTGAGTGACAGATTTGTCCCCTTCCAATAACTCTTCGATTGTTTCACAATCTTCGAGTTAAAAATGAAAAAAAATAACCCAACCTAAAACAAGTGGTATTTTTTTCTGAAGATCTTTTTCATTCAAGAATTCATGGTGTGATTTGACATTGAATCCCAATTAAAAAAAACTTAACAATAATTACAAAAGTAGAGCAATATAAAATCAATTTTATAAATGGATTTATTTAAGGCATACTTATCATAAAGTACAGTAATTATTGCTATATTACAGCTGCTAACATGGCTATAGTTTGATCATAAAGTATTTAAGCTTAGTAATTGTTTGATTTTTATATATTTACCCCCAAAGATCAAAATATTGTAACATGAACTAAGATATTAACAAATGTTAACTATAAGAAATTACTTATAAAGTAATGGAGCTGCTATATTACATTTACCCATATAAACCATGTTTAAAAAATGCCATGCTCGAATTACCAGAAAATTCTTCTTTTCTTATAGCTTTTCTGAAAGATCTTTCCTTAATTCCAGTTAACCAAATCACAAAGAGATCATGAAGTAAGTTCAATATTTGACTCTCAGAATGTAGCYCTGGTAATTTTTGATACTAAAGGAAATATATAGCATCAAGGAACTGCAGAGACAATGTAATCTCATTTTTAGCCAAAAGGAGACATACGACACACAAAGATAACAAGCTTGCATTTTCCTTCTCTTATGTTAAATGAAAGAGCCCTCGGTGAATATATCACATAACCCCTCGCTTCAGGCCAACAACCCTCCCTTAAGAGTGACAAGTACAAAATCAGAAAAAAAGGACTTGATGATTTGATCACTTCAATTAAACTGAAGTTAATGCTAGCAATGACAAGAAACAATTTATAGGTGAGTTTGACAACATTTGAGCAGGCAGTTAGTATGTTACTTTTTTGCTAGATAAGATCCACATTTTCATAATCTTTATTCTCTAATTGAAATCTAAATAAAAGCTACCAATTTATAAATTATTTGAATATCAGAGACTGTCCATGCCATATATCCGTGAAGCAGCTGCAATGTTTAATTTAACAAATACAAATGCAGCTGACTATTATCTGACTATTGATCTTTGCACTGTCCTACACTAACACTATTCAACACTTTGTAAAAAATYGTACATTTGGACTATATCAAGTTCTGGTTCACAGATATATAGCATGCACTTTCTTGGGTGAACAGTGTCACCTTTGTAACTGAAAATCTGATGCAGCAATTTCAGAAAACACTGAATACTATGATACTGTATTGCACATTCCAAGAGTGCACTGCTTTTCCCTATTAGAGTTACAAAATGATAATTTTATACTTAATTGCTTTCCTTTWAAATTCTTGACTTTTTGGAGCTGGTATACTAAGAAAACTCCATTTTGAGTGGCCATGAATCACCAACAATTCATTACAGTCTTGAAATACACTATCTTGTATCAGTATTCAGTATTAAACATTTTCTGAAATAGCTGTTTAATGGTAAATGCACTATTGCAAACAATCAATAATATAAAAATGGTTATTACTGTACTCTACAATTTTTGGCCTTGTTTTGCTTTTTTATAGTACTGTTCATTTGAGCTCTGGGCTTCATGTCTAAGGGGTCCACATATGCAATGCGTGGTCTTCTGATTGGTCGCACTTGTTTACTCTTTTCAACAGGATTTGCAAAGGGATCTTCCCAAGGCAACTTTAATGGTTTTTTTGGGACCTCCTTTTGTTGAGAATCTCTAGATGCTCGTGAAGTTTGACTTGATGATCTTGCTCGGTGAGTAGATTTAGGATTGTTTAAGTTCTTTTGGTTCTGTTCCCTGCGACCAACAACCCTAGTAGTTGAAGCAGTTAGTCTGTGATTCCTCACAAAAGAGTTATCAGGAGTAGTTCTAATTGGTAAGCACTCGAGAGATCTTGAAATTGGTCTTTGTAATATACTATCCCTGTAAGAATTATTTCGACTATTATATCCATACTCGCCACCTTCCTCATCTGACATGACATAATAATGTTTAAGAATCGGCTTTTCCTTAATTAAATTTGGCTTCTTTGATGAACTGTTTGATTTTACTTTTAAGTTAGATGAATTTTGACTTGATGTCCTTTGCATATCATCAATTACAGATGATGATTCAGTTCCATAATTACTGTCCCTACTTTCAATTGTTCCGTAATTACTGTCCCTACTTTCTACATCCTCAACAGGAGTAGCTTTGATATATTCATGGTGATCTCCTTCACGATATTCATAATCCATTACTCTGTATGGCTGAGTCATGTTATCACTGGCATGACTGTGTGATCCATTTTCTGAAGATGCAACACCAGAACTTCTTCCTTCATCACTTTTAACATAAAACTGCCTCTCACATTCACCATCCTGAACACTAACACTGTCAAACACATCTTTCCCATATGGCGTTTCAATAATTCCAAACATGGTGCCTGATAATCTATTGTTTTCTATGGTTGACGAGATAATAGTCTTTTGCTTAGGTGAAGTAAATGGACTGTTATGATGATGAGTAAAAGCAGAAGCAGTTTCCTTGACTTTGAAGTTGTTTACCACAGGATCACCATTAGAAATAGGAATTTCTGAATCTGTATGTTCTAGATCTGAAGTATATGACTCAGGTATTGTGCATTGGGGAGAATTTCCCCTTTGCTGTGTACGAGATGGGACCTCTACTAATCCAATAGGATGTATTCCGTGGCTGCACTCAGGGGAACAATAAATTTCCCCACTCTTTGGTAAAAATGGTAAACCAAGTAGAGGTTTCCCACAGGTATAACAGCTAAAGCATTGTGTATTAGCATGCCAATGCTGTCCATTGTGTGCCATTTGACTAGCATCTGGTTCAATAGGCTCTCCACACGAGTCACAAAACTCAGCATAAAGACTTTCAAAACAGTGACAACAAAATGGTCGATTGTCTCTCATAACATAACGCATTCCACCAAGTGGGCTGTCACATTCAAAGCAACTGAAATGTTGTACATGCCAGCATAAGTCTTCAGCTTCTGTACACTGTTCAGCAAAGATAATCTGCAATCAAATCAATAAGATTTAGTATTATAATTAACACTTCACTTTATGGACATACATAACAATGACAGTTAGCACCAATACAGTGATTTTTGTTTTTTTAAATTTTCTAAAAACATACCTTAAACATGAAAAAAACACAATTAATGACCTAATAGCCCAATTGGATAAGCCTATTTGGTCACATGTATGAGTCTTTATATCTGATAATGTCAACCTTATTAGTATTCTTCATATAAAGAATACTAATAAGGATGACCTTTATCAGATATAAAGMTCCATTATCTCACGATTAACCAATGCAATGCAGGGTTTTAACAATCTACAGTCAAACAACTACAAGTAGTTTCCTCTCGCAGCCATTACGAGGCTTGTTCCCAGGTATCTCTCCCCTGGGAACCAGCCTTGTAACGGCTGCTAAGGGAGACTATCAAACAAACATTGYTAGTACATTAATTCATGTGCATTTGATGTGGGATGCCAAATGTGCTTTGTATTGTGATCTCCCAAACTTATTTTTATGACCATTCCTTCAAAAATCGTAATGAGTTTGAGTTTTRAATTAGTTTTGGAGTTTTTCAAGCCATTCAATAAACTCAAGTTGTGTTTTATAGGGTATCAAAGGCTTCAGCTCAAATTGGTATACCCGATAAAACACTCCTGCTCATTTATTTAAACACCACTTAAAGCTTATGATTTGATTTTATTCACTGGCATCCCACTAGGTAGTGTATGAACCGATGTACAATATGCACAAGCTGCACTTTTTTCCTTTTGTGAAAAGTACCAAAAAACTGGCATAAAAAAAAGCAAGACAGGAGTTGAGCCTTTAATACTACACCTATTGTTTTGTAAGACAATCAATATCCATGGTATCTATCATAGCAAGCTCAACCACTTGTCTTGATGCAAAGTCTCAGTTGGAATCTGAGACTATCAGCATAATTGTCTGACATCAACTTCAGCTTGTACCTTAATTACATCCCATAGTGCATTTCACTTGATTAATTTGCACAACAGTACATGTAAACCGGTTAAGACCAATAACTAAATTCCAAGTTAACAATTACCTCATCACAAGCAGAACATCTAGGCTTAAGTGATTCTGCATGATGTCTGCCACAGTAGACCTTAGAATCCTTGTAGAAGTAGATCAAATCCACCAATAGCTCTCTACATGTTGTACAAATAAAACAGGAAGCATGCCAGCATGTATGCTGACCAGCCCTTGCAGCAAACACAGCCATAGAGCCAGCTCCTATGTGATCACCACACTAAACAAAAACAATACTTCTGTTAWATAATTCACTTGCTACTTTTTTATAGACATATTCAAGCACACAATCACATGTCATAAGAACTAGCTCATCGTGCTAAAAGCCAAATGAGGTTAGTGACAAACAACTGGTTAGAGAAGGATAATATTGTAGTACACAATYGTTTCTTTGCTTGTGCGCATTATCATTGTAGTCTTCATGCTCTACCTTTTTCTTTCTTCAAACTAGAATTTATTAGACTGAATTGCAAAATGACAGGAGGCTAGTCAATTGCCTAGGCTAGCCTTTGCAAATACAGATCAATCTCATAGTGTACATGATAGCATTTTATGAAGCATTTCTAACATGAATCCATAAAACAATATTCAAGCAAGTATACATTCGTTCTTGACCAGATCACTGTCCAAACATAATGCTGAAGAGAAGTGGAATACTTAAGTAATAAGTAGCAAAAGTGCTCATTCAACTTTACCTCCTTGCATGTATATCCATCAGACATATCTGGTATTTGTTTCACTATTCCTCTTCCTAGAGCATCACGCTTTCGTAATGCCACAAAAAAACGCAGCTCTCTTTTTTCATCTTCACTAAGGCCATTACAGAATCTTGCCTCATTATCATGTGGTGGTAACTGCAGGATTATTTGTCGGTTGCGATATTTTTCTCCTATACTATCAACATAAGGAATCTTTTCTTCTGACAGTGAACTCATGTACAGATGAGCCTGTGGATGATCAAAACTAGATAAGTGTCATGTTGCTGGCATATTGCTCAGTACATTATGTTTATTCATTGATAATTCAAATGGCTATAATTATATTATTAAGCTCGAAGAGAAAAAGAAATAGAAAATAGAAAATCTCTTTTTTCTTGGACTAGCTTATTCTTTGTCGTATACTTATTGCTATGCTTGTGTCTATGACATAATAGTGCGTACCCTTGACTTCATTCCATTCTTTAATTTGTTCTCTAGGTCATGTCTATGTTTATGTCTTAGTGAAAACCAGGCTTTAAAATATATTCATACATGTAAAGTCTGCTTTGAACTGATTAGAAAAACATCCAATTATCAATCATCATTACTGAGGAAAATGAAAGAAAAGTGACTGGACAGTCTGACATTTTAGATGGTATAGCAGTGATAACTTCATATTTTTCATTTAAAGAATGTCAGCAATTTGACAGTCAATTTAATGTCAATCAACAAGAATGTTGAACCACCTTACATAATTAGTTTCTACAAAAATGAATTTTATTGTGCATGTATATAGACAAAGGTACATTGTACTTTCTAAGTTGTGAAGGTTGGTATTGATCATAAAATTATCAATACAGTGTGCAATATACTCTCACGGGTCATCAAGTATCTACCTTCCATTAAACATTTTCCTTCTCAGCCAACTCTCAATCTTTGAGTTAAAAAGCATTTTTAATTCATTGACATTCTCTTCACTAATTACAGTACAATATTGCTCTGCTCTTTCGAAGAGTGACTCAAATTAAGTTTCAAATCAATTTCAAATTTATTTTGCCAAGGATGATACAGTCAATCCCACTGATGTTGTTCAGCTGTARAGACACAAAGACTACAACAAAGTCATTTGCATACAAAAATAATAAAATTATGAATTAAATGATATGATTGACATTGAAATGACCTTTTGGTTCTTTACGTTTTTTAAAAATATGATATATGCAAATGACTTTGTTTTCAGTGTCTTCATCTCTTTACAACTTACTGAACAAAATAAATAAAATTGACAGTTATGATAATTTTGTGATTTATTCTACATGTCCAATGTGAAAATAGATTTAAAAACAAGTATAGATATCATAAGACGGCTCCATGGTGACATACAAACAGTAGGTCCATGAACTCTAGTTGAATCTAAACAACCTTTTCGCATAGCTAACTTTTGTAATTTATTCAAACTAATGATGAAGCCTGAAAAGGCGAAAYGTTTGGAATAAAGTTATCTTATGGCTTAAGAAGCATTTCACCAAAATTATTATTATTACACAAGGCATGTCAAACAACTACTTCTCTGAACTCTAGTTAGATAACAACTAGTCTAGACTACAAAATAATCCCCTAGGTTTAATCAAAAAAGCTGTTGAGACAAGTTTAAGCCTTATAGCTGAAAAGAAATATTATTTTTAGAATAAAATTGCTTTATGGGATGTAGGCCATGTTTATTTACCCTCCTCTACTTGTAGTTTGAGTATGTGTGGTCTTTTCTGTGGTTAAATGGGTTGATGTCTCAAAAACTGACAAAAAGTTATATTTATATTTATCAGTGATGAATAAATGAAAAAACAATGTTTTTTTTCCTCCTGAAAAGGAAAAAATGATCCTTTCAGCTCACTCTCAAAAAGAGGACAGACTGATTTTAAATAAAGATTTTAATTGAACATCAATCTACTGCTAAGGAAGGTTTTTAATGTCTTATCTTTTTCTTGCTCTTAAGTCACATCACAGGGTGTCTTTCCCTATGAAATAAAGCCTCTTGGATTTTTGCTAATACTATTATAACCTAGAACTTCACTTTAGTTACTAATGAATTAAGCAGTCTTCAACTTAATGTACCATTGCAATGAAGTGAGCTCACCAAGGTGCTTGTTGTGATTAATACCTTTGAATAATTGTCATTTTTGAAAGTTTAACAAAAKTAAAAGAACATAGTCACCTTCATATTTCTAAATGGTTTTCTCTAACTACAGTATATATTTACAAAGATGTTAGCCTAATATTAATATAGTGAATATTTCTTATAAAAAGTGTATTCATTCATCGAATTGTTTGTCACAGTGATGTTTGTTTTCCTAATTGAAATTTGTTTCTGTACTCTCTAACATCAGTTTTTCTTTTTCATTCAGAATATGATTTTCTGTTTCTTTGCTAATACTTTTTCGTTTTTTAAGCACTTTACCTAATAATTTGTTTTCATTTATATTTGGTTGGATTTTTTAAGTTTTGTGAGCAATGGACAAAAAACAAGGTACAGGTGCGATAGAGAAAAGCRGCATTTCATGCACTCAAGCCTAAATAACATTGCTAGTTGTGAATTTARAAACACATATTGTACTGCATATAATACATGTATATGCCCAGAAAAAGAATTGCTTTATTTGATTTCACTTGATTAGTTACATTCCATCAGAAGGTCATATATAAGAATACCATGTATATGGGGATTGATTAAGACCTCCATGAATACCACATTTCTTGTGTTCTACGATAGAATATTCCATTTGTCTAGCTGTTGAAAATTTCTCAATTATATAATATCTTTAAGCTTTCACAGTTTTTAAAACTAAGTAAAGCAATATAAATYCATATTATTTAAGATGTAAGGAGAAAATTAGCATTATATTTTTGTAGCGTGGGTGGTTTAATATGAATTGTTATTTGAATCCCCTCATGTGATGGTAAAGCTGTCTTCTTGAACAAGCGATAAAAGCCTTCTTTACTATCATCTATATTAATTTTTACTTAAGGTAAAAAAGCCTGAATTTGATCAAAATGTGAGGGAATGGGGTCTGATGGTAAATGATGAAAATAAAGCAAAGGTTTAACAAAAACTCAAAATATAAAATAAATAAATAACTGAATGTTTAAAGGAAAGCAGAGTGTGGAAGTATAGAAATAGATTAGGCTTATGAAGAGGAAAAACAATAGCCTCCGTAGCAGACGTTCTTAGCGGTTCGGGAGAGAATCGAACCGCTAAGAACGTCTGCTACGGAGGCTAGAAAAACAAGTCATTGATTGAATTTTGATAGGAATRTGTCCCATAAATATTAGTTGCCTAATATGTTCACTGTGAATATATACATCTTATTTATATTACATAAGACAAAACAGCACCAACAAAACTATTATCTATTTTATGACCAATTCCCAATCAAGTTTTTTTTCCCTAAACATAAATACATCAACAAGTTAAATTCATGGTTTTTGGTTATACAAACAACATACACTTAGTACAGTAGCTTAATTACTCATTGTATATTTTAATCAAATTCAATATACAGAAGGTTTATAGAGATAAGGTATCACAACTTGGCCTTACCTGCTCAGGGTTTAGACCTGGTGGCACCCAAGCATATTCATCTAATGCACATCCACTGTCATCATCACTAGCTAAGCTTGATGCCCGATGCACATCTGCCATATAAATATTTCTACCAGCCTTTGCATCTTCGCCAATGATGTTGTGATCTTCCCGTGGACACTTGCAGTTACGGCAAATTTTCCTTAAAAATAATATTAGTGATAGGCACACTTTAGGACTTTATCAAAATTTCATCWATCCTAAAATGACATTTTTAAGGCAGATGATAATCCTTTTTGTTGCATTGTAAAGTTAATTCTTAAGTTATCAGTTTCACATTATGTTTCAATATTTCTAATCTGAAAAAGATCCTGAACCCTGAAAATGAGTGGTTCATACAATGCCATTTATTGTTGAGTCTAGAGAAAAATATCAACAAGACAATCAACAGAGAGATTGTTAGGACATTAAAAACAGCTTTTTATATATGCTGGCATGACTCAAAATATCTAGTCTTTTTTCCATTAAAAGATAAAATACATGACTTTGAAAATCCTTTTTATCRAGTTGATTTAAAATTTTCCTTTGAAGAAATATTCTTTGTCATAAATATGATTATAAAATACAATACCAAATTTCATGGCAATAAATATCTTTTCAAGGATGAGTTTGAAGAACATAATTRAAATCCCTGAACATGGAAGCAGCTTTTCTCAACACTGATTAGACAAAATACTTTTCACCAAAAGGTAAAAGGACCCATTTATGAAAGCCAGATCTACACAGAATGATTTTCAAAGAAAAGAACTAACTTACTTAAAATAAATTACAAGGCAATCCACTAAGTTCTGCTACATGACATAAGCTTTGGGTAAAATTATAATGTTACATATTGAAGTACATAACACATTATATAAAATGTACATATACCTTATTGGATTGTCTAACATGTTCAATTCCTCTGGGATCAGAAATATAAGAGTGTTTTAGCAACATCAACTCTTAACTTGCCTAGGCTTGTTTTGAAAAACACCTCATAATATTAGCTTACTTTGACAGATTGGTCTCTTATCTTAGTTACCATCAGTTGCTCAATGGACTATTAGTCTACAATCAGATTTTTTATGAAWTGCATGTTTGAAGGACCTTGAAATTTCATACCAGTTACTCGTTCTTCTTGGGTATATTATGTCAGGTTTATGGTCAAATTGCCCATTCTTGATTAGAAAGTCAATTTATTAGAAACAGCTGGCAGATCATTTCATTGTTGTGTTAGCAGGAGGCAAGTTCCTTAATTTTTATCTCATTTTCCTTTGACTTCATTTCCTTTTTTCTTAAGTATAGGACCATATAGAGATTCTAAAGTTATCTTACAATGGGTAAACATCAGACTTTTGAATCAGAGCTACATCTTTTACAGCTCTGAAACTTGATTTTATTTAATTGATGAATGTATTAARSCAGTAGCCTACTGTTTGAGCATTAAATAAGAGTCAAACACATGCAATGAAGGTACTCTGCTATTGGTTRTACTTAAGTAAATAAAGTCCAAAATGGCCACGTACACTCACTGTAGTTTTTCATTTCTCCACCAAGTGAAGGAATATAAATAATAATACTAGGGTAAGCATTGAAAGCAATTCATGGTCACTTCTTTAATTTTAATGCATGTCTTACAGTACCATTAACTAAGGTCAAGTAAGTGACCAACACTAAGATCTATAGAAATCAATTCAAAGATTCTAGTTATTCATCAAGTTTATGTCAATTAAGACATATGAGTAAGAATAAACGATTCTTCTCAAGTTCTCTTGCTTGACATTGTACAATGTATGTTGATTTGATTATGTTGATTAGCAAGAATAAAAATGTTTTACTTTAAGCAAAATATATATAGCAATYACATGCATGGGAAGAAAATATGCTGCACTCTGCAGGATCTCAAATTCCCAGGAGGGTTAAAAAATGTATAGAATTAGAATAACTTTATTATTTCATATTTCATAACACTGTAATCACTTTTGTTTTTTCAATTAATCATTTAATTTTTACTGAAATTGTATGGTGCTCCACATAAAAACACACTCTAATATAGCTACATAATAYTATCCTTTTGATTTTGAATATTAGGTACAATATCTGAAATTTTCTTTCAAAAATCATCACAGTTCATTAATGCAATAAAACACTCTGAACAGTTTTGTATAAATTTATCAAGTATAATTAGAAAAGTCACAATTTTCTTTCTCTAAGTCAAAATATAAACAAAAATCAGTTTTCTGTAAAACAATGTGTTCTCTAATGACCTGCATGAACTGAAACCTCTGATTAAATGTACAACTACACTTTACCATGCACACTTCTACTGCTTTGTTTAAGGGGTTGACTGGGTGGCCATAATAAAAGTGTGATCATTGTCTTTGAGCTGACAAACAACAAAGAAACAAAATGGATCAACAGAGCCTAGTTCACTAACAAATAACAATTAAGAACACAGTCCGGTCTGCTTTCCTGCTGAGTGAATTCCATATCTAATAGAGAAAATGACGTAGAAGAATACAGTCATTTTTTCACTAGTAGGCTTACTTAGAATTATACACAATTATGATCTGAAAATGGTTCTTAGTGAAACAATTTCATGAACCAAATGTTTTCACAGAGAATTATACAATTGGTACCATTCCAATATTTTGATTAGTATAAATCATGTAAATCTAATTGTTTGTATACTATATTAACTGTAGCAATTATTACTATTTAGTTTAAAACACATTTTCTGATTGGCTGAGAACTTTGAGTATAATTGAATGGTCAGTGTGATGAAGACCCAAGATATTTTGTTGAGGAACACTCATTAACRAGTCCATCGATCAAGATGTTCTCTATTCAGTATTAATCAAGAGCATTTTAGAAATTAAAGAAAGTACTCAAAACATGAGGAAATACTGAATGGAGCTCAGCAAATTATATTTTAGTTGTCTTATCATACTGTATACTGAAAATCTTACTGCGATTTTTGGTTTTCTGCRAACTTTAGCACTGCAAACTTTAACGTTGTCATTTGCTGTTTTTGCTCCCGTCAATCAAAATTCCRAAATAAACAAACTGCTTTCATGACTCCTCCCACAGAATATTATCCGCTTTTATTATACTTTCAAAATAATGCAAATGCTTGAAAACTACAAATGATGATAATGTATAGCTACAATACAAATTTGATATTGATTTAGAATAAGCATGAAAATTAACGAAAGTTAGAACACAAATATGATATAGTTACAGTATGATGTGCATTACTGTACCAAGAAAATAACATATTTTGCATTGCATACTTTATTAATATTGGTTGTTAGAGTGCATTTCATTTTTTTTTGATAAAATATTTCAATATCAGTTAAATATTATATGAAGAATTCTATTGATAAAATATTCCAATATCAGTTGAATATGTTTCAGCTTTTTTCAAAGTCACATATGTAGATACCCTAGTCAATAAATGATATACCATGTACTGGAACCACACAAACTTAAAGGAATCCAGTAAATTTCTTATGTTGACATATAGAAACCAAGTATTGCTGTAAATCTATAAGTTGTGCAAGCAAGCTTTTTATAAAAAAAAATAATCTAACCTTTTTTCATTCAAAATAATAAACTTTCTAGGCTTTAAATATATAGTATAAAAGACCATGGTGTTTGATTTAATCATTTATTCAAGACCACACACATTGTAGGTTCTGATGATATACCATTCAAAAGACAATGTTCTCTTACTATACAGAAAATCAAACAATAAAATGATATTTARATGTTCACGAATATGTAAAATTCCTTGAAAAGAAAAGAAAACTAGATCTTTCACATATAGCATCATGCTACTTTTTTAGATAAAAATGACGGTAAAAATGAAACTTTTCACATAGTACATGAAAATCTTTTAGTTTGTCACTTCCATATCATTTTATTTTTCTTTATTTTCAAGGCAACTGAATTTTGTCAATTTTGGACAAAAAAAGTAAAACGTAACAAAAAAAACAGTTTTCTACACAAACATGAATAATTCCAATAATCAAAATCGTCGGGAAAAGAACTTCCGCTGGGCCTTATTTGTAGTGGGAGGATTAATTCCATGCGTATTGATAATGAGTGTGGTTATTGAATTATATATAGCGATGGTCGGACTCTCAAAGGGACATAGAAATTGATACGTCCATGAAAGATCCTTTCAATTTGGAAAACATGAACCAAGCAAGTTGTCCAGGCTCACGTCCACAAGGTCCTTAAACATGTGGTAACGGAATTGACTCGCAAAGTAGGAAATAAAAAAAAACAATAACASTCTGTTRTTAGATTGTCGGTTGTCAAACGCGAAAAGAAAATAGCTAGGTTTAAGTGCTTGCGTATGTGTTCTATAAAAGCGACAATGGTAAAATAATGTAGTAAAGAGACTGTATGTATTACACCAGCATGTAAATCACACGAGGTTTGACCGCATAAAGTAACCACACAAGACTGCCAAAGGCGCATGTTCAAACAGACTTGTCGAAAACTTTAACTCGTTAAAATATGTTTGTAGACACGCACCTAAGTCGCTTTCCTAATCGCCAAACACTCACTCGACGCCTTTTACAGCAGGAAGATGTAAAGCCTATACATGGGCTTCCGGACGAGAAGACTCCGAGAGCGTGTTTAAGTTCGGATTACCAGTCATTTATAGAGAGTATTTCTTTAAAACGGCTGTGTCATAGAGGTTATTCAGTGATATTGAATGACCTGGATAAAAAATCAAAACAGCATGGCCTATTGCTCGCTGTTGGGAAGCGGAAAGCATTAGCAAAGAGAAGAAACCACAAGCATTGGAGTCAAAATGTAGAACACATTCCTGGCTATTCCAGTTCCCGTGTGTTGCGGTCAGATATCTTATAAATGTTTATGAGGTGCCGTGCTTTCCACCTTTGGAGCGTCAGACTTGTTAGACTGATCGGCTCCAATAAGATTCTTTAATAAGGCACATCAACTGAAAATAGCCCCTAATTAAATATCAACTAGAGTATCTGATATATCTTAGCTTTATCGTGAACCGGCGTTGCAATCTGTACCTCTTCTTTCTAGATAAGCTTCTATACGTCACTCCAGTCACTCTATCAGACGCACTCGGGATTAATAATAAGCAAACAACTCGACGATCGACGACTCAATGATTGGAATACTTAGCGAAACTAATTTTCTCTGTCCTTTTTACTTTTTACAGTTAAAAGAGAATGCACAGATTAGGTAATTTCTTAGTCCGACCTTTTTGCCCCAGAGAAGATTGTCAAATAACCTCTTTCCAGCAGAAAACAAAATGAAATCTGACGGCTTTTAATAATAGACTATACAAACTCCTGAAGGTGGACAAAGAAAACCAGAGGAGATGAGAAATAAACACTTCTTCACAGACACATTTAAAGTCGCTATATCAAACATACCAATCTTATCGTTAGACGGGCAAAGTGATCGATTGAAAAAAGCCTTTTCGAATGGCGAAGGTCCAGCAACAAAGAAATCATTCACATTCCGACACAGTGTTGTTGATCAGACTGACATTTTTTCAAACACAGTAATAAACAATCGGATTTGGTCGAAGTTTATGTCTTTAACGACACTCTACAGGTTTTTTGTGGACCATACGTAAATTTTGAGAGCAGTTACATTGCTTTATTATCACGTATGTCACTCGAAACCTGTTGAGCTTTGCCGCGCTACACATTACCTACCTCCAATAATGGGCACTAAAACCAGGACACGCATCTTCGCAGTTGTTACAGGCTTTGGATGTGTCCTCGTCGTCATGAGCTACCATGTCCTGCAATTCAAGTGGAGAATAATCAGCCATTCTAGCCCCTTTGATAAAGGCCACAGCATCAGCTTGGCGCGTCTCGAATGCGAGCCACCTTACCCGAGGGATTTCACTTCTCCTCATTATTGAAATTTAGACCCGAAACAGCTCACAGAGTTTTGCTGTTCGATTTGTGTAAATTGATCGAGCACTTCGGCCGTGACATGGAGGATCAACAGAACGTAAAAACCCTCGAAAAGGACGAACCATTTGCAAACGTGCAATTATGGCTGTTCAACTGTAAAATCAATACAAACTATTCTCTAGGTGATTGACGTCCTTTGACGTTAATTAATGCATTAACCAATCAAAACACACGGCTCACATTGATCCACATTCTTGGCTGTCAACATACTATCAGCTCTGGTCGAATCTCTCGGCACGTTTCTGTGAACATCCGTCGCGCGTTTTGAAGAGAAAACCGCATAATCTGCTCGAATGAAGTTGCTCTTTAGTAGGAAATACTTGTGGGTGGATGAAAAGAAAAAACCTTAAGCTATCTACGCATGTCTATAAGCTCTTCGAAACGCGGAATGAGAATAAGAAGTCTTACCTTTTGCGCAAAGCAAACAAAAGAAAACGGTGGTCCGACACCGCTACTAAATGAATTAATTTTGTTTTATTTGTTTTCAGGTATCTTATGTTTGGTTCGAATCTTGATTTCAAGGCAAGTAACTGATGGATGTCATATACAAAGTAATAACGTTATTCCTCGTGGGCGTGCAAGTGTTTCTGGTATCTTTACTGTGGGTTGCTAASGTCTTTTGCCTTAACAACGCACGCTGAACACAAAATTGTTTGTGATATAAACAGAATCAATAATGAGGATATTTAAGAACATTTAATGTAGTTTATTTAGAATAGTTCACTCTACGATCGTTTTTGCGTAAATTCCGTTMTGTCGTTCTCCAATTTTTCATATTGTTTTGCCAGTGTGCTTCCGATTGTGTGTGTGTTTTTTTAGTATCTTTGTATTTATATTTGTTGCTGGCGTGTTTTTGTACGGTTGTTATTTTCCTTTTGTTGTGCTCCCTACTCAATAAGGTATAATCTGCCATAACAACCGTGACAAAAAGAAAACGAATAAGCGGAAATGAAAAAGTGAGATGAAACTGAAAATAGCAATGAAGTACCATGCAATTTTGAAAGCTGTTTATCATTATTGTCATTTTCTTTCAAATCACACGCTTGTTTTGTACGCTAATATGTTATGAATGTTGACTTAGAAAAACAATGGTTTCTTTAATTGCAATGATTGCGATACACTCAGCCATGACGTAACATGCCCTAAGGACTGTTACCGTTTCTAACCACAACCTAACAAAAGAGGCGAGTAGTATGATCACGAATGAACATTAAAAACCCTTTTKGAAAAATGTTTGGTTTAAGGACAGTACATTAACATAACTGAGGTAATTTGCGATACACTGGACTTCACAATTACTAACGTTACGTTTTTAAACATTTCGTGTTGAACTCAGACACCTTAAGTTTTCTTTTGTTTCGTAAATTATAACAAGGAGTGTTAAATGGAAACCAACGTAAAGCGAGAAAACAGTTTGTATCGGATATATGGGCAAGTACAAACCATAGCACGCGTTTTATACTGCTGAGACTGTTTAATAGAACCATAGTATAAAGATAGGAATTAAAATKTGCTGGAACATTTGGAACGAATATGAGTAGAACGTTTTTTCCGTGTTTATGAATGAAAACTAATTGATCAAAGCTTGATCRAGGGAGCGTTTGTTTTTTTTATAAGGTAGGGGATGGATGACTTGCCACTCGTCCACTTCGTGTTGTTGTTATATATCGCCCATCCTCCACGGCCACTACAGTGTAGCATAAACAATGAACGCTGCCTAAAATACTCCATAGAAAAAAGGTTAAACCAACTATTAAAAAATGTTGGATGAATAGAGGATATTACATGGGCGCGCGGAGATACGGATTTTATCTTCGAGTTCAACGCGAGAAGATAAAATCCGTATCTCCAAGCGACCATGAAATATTCTGTTTATCATATAATTACATATAAATGCAAATAAAGACATAAAATACCTTTTTTCTTACTTCCACTATATAGAGAAACCTCGAATGCGTTATTTTCACTAGATCAACTTTACCTAATGGAGAAATATAGGTATTTCATAGATAATTATATGATAAAGCAAATTTCTTAATTGGAACTAACGAAATAAACTGTTGTCAAGAGGGAATTAAAAAGAAAAATGAAAAAAATGAGTCAAGTGTAAATGGGAATCAATTGATACGTTAACTAAAAAAGTAAAGATAACAGTTCACCGAGGTCAAAATTGTTCGCTGGAAATTTAATAGGTGAAAACTGATAAAACGTTGGATCCAGTGTCTACTCTCCAGTACGTAACAAAAATAACGGTCAGACTGGATTGCAATGTAAACAATTCCACGCGCAATAGAACTATAATCGATAATATCTTGCCTCTGGCTGCACTATATCACTTAGAAAACTTAAGTGTTTTTGTTCACATAATAACCCTCTAAAGTGTTATTTATCACGATAAAAATAACCTGAGGGAAGAAAGCTCACCATGCATTGATGTATTATTCCAGTGCACTTAGCTTGACGTAGWACGCAAATACACGCTCATTGTTTTATTATTATACTAGACAGMCTGACTACGGCATTCCGAGTTGTTTTGAAATGAAATATGATTGKCATATAAGTGAAATCCAATTGATGTGAGCATCCCAGGGCTGGCGATATTAAACGATGTGTTTCTATAATAATGAGAAAAATAAGSAAAATAGGGAAGGCATTCATTTCATAGCATTCCTTCTCATAGACGTGATTCCCATCATTGAATGAATTATTCAAGGTACCTTTTGTCACATCCAGCTATCGTCAGGTGTTGGTCTGGCGTGATTTTATGATATTTTCACAATGATTCATTATAAGAAAGCTCAATTAGTTTCTCATCTCGAAAAACAACTTAAACGGTCTCCTCTTCTATCCGAATTATTTATAATTTTTTTTTCTGTACAGCTCAAATTCACTTAGAACTGTTAGAATACAGTTCCCCTCTATTAGCTATGATAATTACAAAACGTTGTTTAGGTGTAATGCGAATGTCTGCTTATTGATGGAGTTGACAATGTATATTATATTTTTCAGCAAAAATGTTTAATTTTGAAAAATGTGAAAACTATTAGTTAATTTGTCACGTGATAACGTCTTAAACAGATTTGTCGTAACCAGGGGTCGGAGCTTGCAGGAAATAAAAATAAGACAACAGTGTCCTCATATTAGCTCACACGGGCCCCACACGATCTGAGAAGCTTCGCCGTACAATATACGACGAAAGCACTTCGCGTCTYGAAAGACAAGTGCCGCTTAAAGTCTCCCCGAACACTTTGTGAAAAGTGAAAGCAATGATAAATGACGTCTTAATTTGGCCGTTTTGAATTAATATTGCTKGGCATGTTATGTTATTTGGCCATGTTAAATTTGGAAACTTAGTGGAACAACTTCAATTTGAACTTAACATGCTTYAACAATGAGTTACACTGAAAGAGAAAAAAGTTAAATACTTAAAATTGCACTTTAAGCGATGTTATGCAACTGGATGAAATGAAGTGTCTTCCACTTGGGATAACTGATTTAGACTAGTTATGTACTCAAAGAAAAGAGCTAATAGAACCTTGATCACGGCAAGTACAGAAAATCACGAAATGCGAAATTCTTACTATYAAGATGATRAGCTGCCAGCATGAACGTGTGCAAAGCTGGATGAATAAGGAGACGTTACCTTTAAAAATTGAGTCATAKTCCATTTTGTAACCATRATGAGGTCATTTGAGGYAGTGCGGTTTGTATATAAACTAGACGACCCGAACCTCATTCTTCATGGTGCGTGAGACTAGTTTATTGAAARTCGGCCCAACCCTCACGACATTCTTGACGTCAYACATCTTTTCTTTTCCTTCCTTGAGTCTGAAYAGAAATAGTATGGACAATGTTGAAACCGCATCACTCTTGATCACTGACTCRACCCCGACAGTTTGTCGTCCATGAAGATACAATTTAGATATCAAAAATGCAAGAAGATGGATTTCACAGGTGACCAATTTGTACTTGAAAAAATGCGAATGAGTTAATTGCAGATTAACCATGTAGGTTGGAGCCAAAGGTGTTTAGGGTAATGTCTAATATAGCTYGAGTGTAAACTTTACAAACATTTCATAATAGTACTAAAACCTGCCGACCCTGTCTAAGTAAACTGAAATATATTGTTACTAACAATACAGAAGAGTCTCATTTTGATTTGCATGCTCTAACAGCCAGACAAGTGACATTGGTTTCCGATTTAAAAAGCGCGGTTTTGCTTAATTTTCCCCAACGACTCGTCGTTTCTTTTATGCGGTCCTTATTAAAAGGAAGGTTGACTTTGAATTTGAGCTGTATTGAATTATAACTAAATTGGCAGCAAGTATGGTAGTATTTGACATTATGGCGGCCAGACGATGGGTCAAATTCCTAATAGTTTTCACGATGTTTTAAAAATCATCAATGCGATAAGCTGTGAAAGATGGTTCGTGGTGAGCCGAAAATAACTTATCAAATGAAAAAAATTGCCGCCAATAATTTGTTATTTTGAACTCGCGGCATGCCACCCTGCAAAGACTTGTGGGCAATGTACAACAAATGGCGCTAAAAGCAGCAAATTTAGCGTGGACTGTGTGATTTCAGGTGTGGAATGACTAAGTATTATAGGAGAACACGATGAATRAGGTTACAATCATAATWCCCGTGACGATGGCGGGGCTTCACCGTTGGTGATATTTTTGAAATGCCGACTTYATGAAGCGCCTTGCATTCTAACGATCCGTGGCCTTTAGGTCACTATATAGCTGCAGGACGAACGGAAATTAAAATTTTGCTTTTTCTTCCGTTGTTTTATGATAGGGAACGATATATTTTGACTTGTTCATTCCGTGAAAATCAACAGTGGTCACACTGCTAGAATAATTTTGATACGATCAACCATCCATCTTTATCGTTCTCTGAGAAAATAATTCGATTTTATCAAGGTGGAACTCAATTTCACCGCAATTAACGAATGAATGTTTATTCTTATTCACAGTGAGTCATCTCAGATAACATTTAGAATTCGTGTTTCGGTTTGCAGACATTTACAGATGACCAAATATTATTGTTGCTTCATTCACGATGAGCGCTTCCTATGAATGGCGTATACCGTTAGTTTCTCTTTACTATTCAGGAATGTTAAACATTGCAATAATTCTAGTGAGGACTTGAGTAATGTCTTAATAATATAGTCACGTGACATAGACCTTGTATAAGCCTGCAGATATATTAAAACCATCTACAGTTAATATCTGTAAGACAGATCTTCATGGTAATTTTCCTTAGAAAATRTGTTTTCCTGTTTACACAATATCATCCTTCCCGAATATTCCCACGAAAATTGGGTTTTGTTTTACCAATGGTTCAAAATTGAATTAGTATTTCTGTCATCGCAGAGTTTGCTACTTCGTTCTTGGCAGATTTTCACCCTATATAGCATGCTGCCATTTGCCYAATAACTCTGCGGTCGAACTGGTAATAGAATAAGGCTGGTTTACTCTCCAGGGTCCATGTGCATAAATTGAAACCGTCCATTATGACATGTAAGTCATCTTCACTGATTTCTTGTTCCTTTATAAAGTAGTGAATTGACTGCCCCTGGCAATGTGTTGATAAACCGGCATAATGTTTTATACTTAATATAACCTAAAGTAAAATATTCTAAAGAAATAGAATAAATTAGTTGATCGCTTTTAAAAAAGTTGAATATCTGAGTCCTTGTAGATGTCAAATTGAAAAAAGGAGCCAATGAGTTCAAGTAGGTGTACTCCCAAACCACATTCTTACCTTGGTAAAGTTTTCAGTGAACATTTCATAGCTTTTCCTCAAAAAGGCTCGATATKTAYATGCTTTTTACTCATGTCTGTATTCTGTATTAAGAGATCTTACTTCTGAATTATGACAGCACAATATTGTGGAGGAGTAGATATTTGCGGGTTTGAGCTGGTTGGGATTAACATTTAAGCCCAAAGTGAAACCATCAAAATAAACAGTATGCTGAATTTTAGTTTACAAGAGATAGAGTTGTGCTTGTTATGTGAGATTCAATCGACTAGCTTTACATTATACAAACGGAGATATTTGACAGTTCTTTCAGTTAAATAACACTGAATACCAATATCTACTTTACCAATACTGATTTTTGGTCTCAGCCGATTTGAATTAGTATCTTACCTTCATATGGTGCTTTTCTAAATCTGACAATATCCGATTCACACAGGGACTTGTTGGCTTTATAGACCAACCCTTAGGGCTGCTTTATCTTAATAACACGCCGTCCAATAGTGATCTCTGCAGTGGGCTGAACTAAAAGCTATACTATAGGGTATGCGTCTACTCTTCCGCCGAATCGTCTGAACTAAGTATTGATCGTTAGAAGTATATATTGTAGAATTAAGGCTGGGTGACGTTGTCTTTGAAAAACTCATCAACATACACCACGTTCTTAAGGGTGTTTCAATTGGTCCAATCTTTTGTTGTTTTACAATTGATAAGTTATTTACATACATTAAGTAAAGCTCCCCTTTATGTTGGAATGAAGTGAGAACAGCAACCAATTGGATTCAGTAGTTACAGTTGGTATCACCTGAATGAATTAAAAAACTTATGCTATTGAAAACACTGGCTCGAAAACAATAGAAAACAACAGCCAGATGTTACAGAAGTGTGAAAATCTATTCATTCTGGATTACTAGAAAAGATCKTTAGGGGTTTTTCTTTAAAAGAAAACATTAATAGATGCGCTCATTCATATTTGAATAAGAGCGCT